AGGAGGAGGAGGAGGAGGAGGAGGAGGACCAAGACTGAAGACGGATGGTGCTGCTATTTCACGCAAGAAGATGTTGTCTGATTTAAGAGAGAAGGGTTGGGTTCGAGGGGGCCTTATAAATATTCTTTCACGTTCAAAATACCCTGACGCACACGGCCGCATTCCATCGACGCATCGGGTTTAGCCAAGTTGGCCTGTTGACTGACACAATTACGCAATAAAAACCTTATAAGGATGGAAGCGAATATGCCAGCCCCCAGGTTTGTGTTGCAAAGAAGATGAACGCGCGATCACTGAGACAGTACGTGTATTAGTCTACGCTTTCGGCCTCGTACAAGAAACCATCATCAGAGACTGTGAGCGTGCAACAAAAGGTGAACGGTTTTTGTAGTCTAACAAAGAGGAATGGGGGAGGAGTAAGGGTTGAGGGAGAGGAGATGGTGTTCGTAATAAGGCTGACTCCAGGCCTTCTCGCGGCATTGTGATGGGGTGTGTCCTTGGCTGTGAACTGGACCGCGCCTCTTGGCTGCGCGAACAAAAGGCGTGATGGCAGGGGACATGTCACTGTGTTTGTTGATGGAGTTGGAGCCAGACACCCAGACCTGCAACAGTTCCTGCTCTGTTTTATTGCTAGCTCCCACCACTATCCGTGTGCTCGCGAAGTTAAATGTGTGCCCTCCTCCAGGGTGTGGGTAGTGACCTGAGACCATTGTTCGCCTCTCCGCACTGCTAGTTTGTGTTCTATTATTGCCGAGCTAAGTCGTCGCCCCGCCTGCCCTGTATAATGGCGAGAACAGCCACGACATGAGATGTGATAAACCACACCACACTGGTCACCTGCATCCACTCGGTCCTTTATTTAATGATACGGGTACGCACACCGAACTCGACAGCAATAAGTTCGGTTGCTTCTGACAAATTTTTAGATATGTGCTCACCGTCTCTGATGATGGCCCCTTGTACGAGACCGAAAGTTCAGATCAGTGTACGTACTGTCGCAGTGATCACACTTTCATATTCCTTATAAGGATGTCAGCGGACTGGGGAAAGACTCAATATGAACAGCAGCAGCACTTATCTCAATATGACAGGATTCGAAGCAGATGCAGATCAACATATCACATCCGTCATTAGATAAAGGGCAGGCTTCATAGACTCGGTCCGAAAAACCTCCCTTTAGCAGGCAGGAGAGAAGAGTATGAATTCTTGATTCTGGGAGTGTAGACTGGACCGTAGGCAGTTATCACGAAGGAGCACTCCAATTTTGCACGATGGCCAGTGGTGTCAATGTTCTTTCCGAATCTGACCTCACCGGTCTATCAGCCAAGGCCGCAACCACCCGACATCTTGAATGATTAAAGGTCGCCACCAAAACCCGCTTCATACACTC